ACTGGGGATCGAACCAGCAACTTAGGTATGTGCCCTGACCAGGAATCCAACCCACACACAGCCTTTTAGTTCAGAGAGGATGCTCTGAACTGCCCAGCCAGGGCAAAAATGTTATAGTTTTAATTTATTTTAAAATCAGAAGAGAAAAATGAATCCAGCCTGGATTATATTCTTTTTTATCACAGCAGTTGTCAAATCCAATTTTCAATATGATTTCTTTATAGAGAAAGGGGCCCAGAAAGTGAAAAAATGCTTAGGACCCGAAAAGGCAAAACCGTAAGGCAGCCGTGGTTTGATGCGGAGAAGAATTCTGAGTCCCAGCCTGGATCCAGCGGGAAAGCACCGTGATCCACCCATTTGCTGTGTCTGCCTTAGGCGGGAAGAGGGGAGGTGGTGTTTGGATCTGGTTGTCTTTGGCTTGGTGCGATGAGGCCAGGGGCATTTCAGGTTCAAGTCCCAGACAGACCCACGACTTAATCATGCTTACGCTGGTTGGAGACCGCTTCCTAACCTGCAAAAGGAAGTCGTTGGTGGGCCTTTTACGAGGTGAGGAATGGAATGATGAAAACTAGCACCGTGCCAGGGACTGTTCCAAAAACCTTCCTCCCTCCCCGCCCCCCGCAGCTCCTGCAGAGCACGTCATGTTCCCATCGCCACAATGTGTGCTTTAGGAATTGAAGCCCTAATTGGAATTTCATCCGGAGAGATTAAAAAAACACACACACAACATAAGCCAGGATTCCCCAGGCTCCAGTTTCCTCCTCTTTGCAATCCAGTGTCTGTCTGCCTAGAAACTCCCCTGTCGGTCCGCATCGCGCCCGCGCCCCCTGCAGGCGCGCGGTGGTGGTGCTGGCTGGCCGCATCCTGCCCGAGCGTGCGAGCCCTGGGTCGGGAGAGGGAGCGCGGCCGCGTCAGGATGAGGAAAAGCAAAGGCCCGAGGGCCGTTCGGGAACCGGGACCCCAGCGGGAGCGAGCGGAGGACCCCTGCGTGCGGGTCCTGGGGCGGGGACCGGGACTGGGGGCGTGGTCCCGGATTGGGGCGTGGTCCAGGCTCTGGGGGCGTGGTCCCCGGCTGGGGCATGGCCCGGGTCTGGGGGCGTGGTCTCTGGCGGGGCGTAGCCGGGGCGGGGGCGGGGCCAGTCCGCAGGGGCGGGGCCAGTCTGCAGGCCCAGACGTGGCGCTGCGGCCGGGCGTTGCACCTCCGTCCAGCTTTCGGGTTACCTTCGTGCGGCTCCCGATGCGCCTCCCGCTGCCTCCGCCGCCCGTGCTGCTGCTGCTGCTTCTGGCGGCGCTCACGGCCGCCACCAGCACCTTCCGGCCCGACTGGAACCGCCTGCACGGCCTGGCCCGAGCCCGGGTGGAGGTGAGTGCGTCGGGCCCCCAGCCCGGGATCCACCGACTCCCAAGCCCCCATGGGGTGGGGACCATCCCTCTCGCTCCCCAGCCTCCGGGCGGACGCCCTAGCCCCTACCCTGGAGGCACGAGACACTCGATCTTGCGGCCTAGAAACCCGAACTTCTCCCCGCCCCCCACCCCCACCCCACCATCTGGTGGGCCCCCAGACACCCTGACCCTGTCCCCTAACTCTTCTCTTGGCCTGTAACTCTCCCAAACCTGCCTTCTGGAACCCAACTTACCCCCCCCAAAAAAACCCATCGAGACACTTTTTTCCCCCTGGAATTCCTCCCCCACTGCAGTTCCTGATGGTCTGTCTCTCCCTTTGCCTGGGAGAAGGAAGGCTTTCTGGATGCCCACCCCCAGGTCCCCCATGCAGGAGCCGGAGAAGCGGCCCAGGGACTTACTCTGCGGCAGCCCTCCCCACCCCTACACCCCCGCGAGGAACCGCCCCCCCCCTCCCAGCGTCCCTGTCTTGCTGTGTGACTTACATCATCACAGTCCCTCTCTGGGCCTTAGTTGGCTTTCTGACAAACGGAGGGGTAAGGGGAAGAGAGAGGACTACAGTGGGTGGTCCTGGGGCCTGGAATCCTGCTGGGAGGTGTGGCCCTATACCCTTTAGGGCGTGCAGGGAGGGGACCTCCCATCCTCCCACTTTGGGGAAGCTACCATATGGTCTGTCAGGCTGGCCCCCAGCTGGTAGGGAGGGCCAGCTCTGCTGGCAGCAGGGTAGGGACCAGATGGCACGGGAGTGCCCAGGGCAGTTCTGAGCTCCTTCCTTCTGGTCTGTCCCACCCTGAGGTTCTAGGGGGCCAAAGGCGAGGCCCAGGTCTCTACTGCCCCAGGGGGGCCGGTGATCCTTTATTTATTTCTCTTGGGCACTGGGACGGAGTCCACGGTCAGCCGGATGGCAGGCAAGAGTCCCAAGACCGCTGAAACCGGTTTGGCTCAGAGGATAGAGCATCGGCCTGCGGACTGAGGGGTTCCGGGTTCCGGGTTCCGGGTTCCGGGTTCCATTCCGGTCAAGGGCATGTGCCTTGGTTGCGGGCACGTCCCCAGTCTGGGGTGTGCAAGAGGCAGCTGATCGATGTTTCTCCCTCATCGATGTTTCTGCTTCTCCGTCCCTCTCCCTTCCTCTCTGTAAAAAATCAATAAAAATATATTTTCTCCTAAAAATATTTTTTCTCCTAAAAAATCAATAAAAATATATTCTCCCTAGTAGAAACATCGATGAGAGAGAAACATCGATCAGCTGCCTCTTGCACACCCCAGACTGGGGACGTGCCCGCAACCAAGGCACATGCCCTTGACCGGAATCAAACCTGGGACCCTTCAGTCCGCAGACCGATGCTCTATCCACTGAGCCAAACCGGTTTCGGCTAAAATATATTTTTTTTAAAAAAGAGTCCCAAGACCTGCGAGGGCTGGTCTCTGGCCTTGCCCTCTTTCCCCTTGGCATTCCTAGGCCTCAGTTTCCCCATCTATACAGAGTCCCCCCTTCTGCCTATACAAGGCCTCCATCTCCACACCTTGGGGACCGCTGCTCTAGGGGTAACCCACAGGCGGTCCCAGCTGGGCGATGACCTTGACCTTGGGGACATGGTTGGGGGGGCAGGTGTGAGTTTGCTCCTGACCTCTCCCATCTTGTCCCCTCCAGACCTGTGGTGGATGACAGCTGAATCGCCTGAAGGAGGTGAGTTCGACAGGAGGGATCCCCGGTGTTGTCTCCCCTGAGCCTTTTGGGGGTGGGCAGTGTGGTCCCCGGGATGGGGTCGGGGGGAACTCTAAGGCTGGGGTCACTGGGCTTCGGTGGTTTCCCTTTGGGACCGGGCGTGGGCTGAGGTCTGATGCTCTGGTTCCTCCCCAGGTGAAGGCCTTCGTCACCCAGGACATCCCCCTCTAGTATCCTTCTTCCGTGCTGAGAGGGGGAGGGGGGGAGGGGAGGGAGGAGGGGGAGGGGAGAAGGGGAGGGAGGAGGAGGAGGGAGGAGGGGGAGGGGTTCTGGGAGACTCTCCTTCCCTTCATTCCACTGACGGGACGACATGTCGGCTTGGTCGGCAGTGGCTGCCCAGAGAACTCCGAGCTGGTCTCCATGTTGGGTCGGCAGTTGAAACTGACCAACGATGCCCTAGCCCCGTGGTCGGCAAACCGCGGCTCGCGAGCCACCTGAGGCTCTTTGGCCCCTTGCGTGTGGCTCTTCCACAAAACACCATGGCCCCGGCGAGTCTATGTTGAAGAAGTGGCGTTACAAGAAGTTGAAGTTTAAAAAATTGGTCTCTGCAAAGAAATGTCAATCACTGTGCTGTTGATAGTTGGCTCTGTGGACTGATGGGCTTGCCAACCACGGCCCTAGCCAGTCCAGCCCGCAGACTGAAGGGTCGGTCCCTGGTTCCGTTATGGTTAAGGGCATGTGCCTGGGTCGCAGGTTCCCTGGCCTTGGTTGGGGGTGCGAGCAGGAGGCAACCGATCGTTGTGCCTCTCTCACATCGATGTTTCTCTCTGACTCCCCCTCCCAACAAAACAAAACAAACCCACAAAACAACGGCAGCACAGAAGGAATTGACTCATGAGGACCGCCACACACACAGGGATGGAGAGGGGGATCCCTTGGCTTCTTGGGACCCCCATTTCCTCACGTGTACACGGGGGTGGGGGGGGAGGGCTGCCTCCCATCCGCAAGGCCCCGGGGAGCACCCACCTTACCCCCTTGGCCCGCCAGCACCCACCTTAACTCTCCAGCCACAACCTGGAGATGAAGCACCTGCCTGGGGCCGACCCTGAGCTGGTTCTGCTGGGCCAGCGCTCTGAGGAGCTGGAGGTGAGGCCCGGGGAGGCGGGTGGGCCCGGGGGTGGGGCCGGGGCCGGGCGGGCGCGCTGACCCGGCTCCTCCCCCGCAGCGCATCCCACTGAGCGACATGACCCGCGAGGAGATCAACGCGCTGGTGCAGGAGCTCGGCTTCTACCGCAAGGCGGCGCCCGACGAGCCCGTGCCCCCTGAGTACCTGCAGGCGCCCGCGAGGCCCCCCGCCGAAGGCGCCCCGGACCGTGGGGACCTGTAGGTCGGAGAATGCACCCCCCAACCCCCACCCATCCCTCCACCCCCGCCTGAGCCCCGGGGACCCCATGAAGCGCTCAGCGTCCCGGGAGCCCCTCCCTCGCTGAGGGCCGAAGCCCCGCCCCGGGGAGCCGGCAGGGATGGAGCGGAGGGTCCTCTCCATTCCCGTTATTCCCGCCCGCGGACCCCCTTTGGCGCCACTAAACCCCCTTCCGCCGTAAAAGAGACTCGACTCCTTCCTTGCTGCGGGCGGGGGTGGGATGGTGGGTCCAGGAGGGGGTGGGGAATAGGGGTGTCCCCCCCCCCCCATCCCAAACACCGCAGGATCCCCAACTGCTTAGCTCCATTCATTCATTCAAACCCTCCCCACCCCCCATCTGCCCCCTTCCCTTCCCCTGCAAAGAGGCAGAGACGGAGTCGGGGTCCTTGAAAACCAATAATTTATCAAAACGCTGCTGTGTGTGCCGGGCGGGGTGGCGCAGACCAGGCCGCGGTGGGCGGCGGGGCGGGGTGCGGGCGGTGGGCGGCGGCCGGGCGGGCGGGCGGGCGGCTAGACGTTCTTGCCGCGCAGGCGCAGCTCGTGGCGCCGCAGGTGGTTGTAGAGCGACTGGACGTAGGTGAAGACGCACTTGGAGTCGGGCTTCTTGCCCATGATCATCATGTCCTCCACCTCCACCAGGGGCACGCAGTCTACCAGCATCCTGCGGGGGGCACGGGGGTGGTCAGCGCCGGCAGGGGGCGCTCTGGGGATGACACCCCTACTGTGAGGTCTTGTTTTCACGGCCAAAGTCTGCGGGTCTTCCGCACTCTCCGGGGTGGGTGGGAGGGAGAAGGTGGATGGGGTGGGAGGAGCCTCCCAAGAGGGCGGGGAGCCCCAAGCTCCATCACCCAGCCTGGAGGCACTGGGGCGGGAAGCGAGGCCAGGATGGTGGAGGTGGAGGTGCAGGGACAGGAGCTGTGCCTCATCCCAGTCAGGACAGGGTACAGGTCTCTGCCTCCATCCCCGGGGAGGTCCTGCCCACAGGCCCCTCCCACTTCTCTCTGGAGGGCCACCGGCTGCTCACCCGTGGTACACTCCAGGGGCGTTAGCCTCCGAGCCGGCCATGGCCCCCTAGGGACCTTATTCAGGCACATCTCCCCCCTGCAGCCAGGCTGCCCCAGTGACACTGAGCCCGTTCACCTGCCAGTTCTCTGGCCTGGTACCTCCTGCGGGGCTGAAGGCACTCCACCCCTGCAAGCCCGGTCCTGGCCCCAGGGGACGGCCCCGCTGTGTGGGATGGGGGGGGGGGGGAAGTATGTGGGTTGTAGGGGGAGGGGTTTTTAACCCTTATTACCCCCCTTTGGTAGAGATGAGGGCCCCAAACAACACAGACAGGACCAGCTACATCACGCTCAGGGGGCGGGGCCACCCTCTGTCCGTCTCCCAGGGTGTGGGCTCTCTTGACTGACAGGTACACTGGTCACAGAGACAGGAGTCCTTTGTCTTAAGCCCCATTACCTGCAGGGCCGGGCCTGATGGGGCCCAGGCCTCTGGCCTGGGTGTTGGCACCTGCCTCTCTTCCCTCCCTACTCAGGGGTGAGTTGGCTGCCTAAGCCACTGTCAGCCTCAAACCTCTGAGGCTGTCGTTTGCACCCTGGTTCCCTCTTCCCTCCTCTCCCAGGGCAAGCCCGCTCCCCTCTGCCACGCCTGGCACCCAGTAAGGAAGCACTCAGCCAGTGCTGCTGAGCGAGTTTCCTGGGGCAGGGAAGGCATATGGGCAGGAAGTGCTCCTGTCCCCGAGACACCACAGGGCCAAGATCCTGAGCCCCCGGCATGGAGCATGGCACCCTCAATCCCCGGTGCCCAAACTGGAGGCTTCCCTGACCCCCCTGCTGCCTCCCCAACTGGATCCATCAAGAAGCCTGTCCTGCCGAAACCGGTTTGGCTCAGTGGATAGAGCATCAGTCTCCGGACTGAAGGGTCCCAGGTTGGATTCCGGTCAGGGGCTTGTGCATTGGTTGCGGGCACATTCCCGGTAGGGGGTGTGCAGGAGGCAGCTGATCGATGATTCTCTCTCATCGATGTTTCTAACTCTCTGTCCCTCTCTCTTCCTCTCTGTGAAAAACCAATAAAATATATATTAAAAACAAAACAAAACATCAGAAGCCTATCCTTCTACTTCTCATTAAGCTTCTCCGCTATCTAGTCCACCCTATCGCTCCTCATCCCCACTCAAGGATTGTTCTAGAATGTTGACCAGACCCTGTACATCCCTCCTCTGTTAGGGAAACTTTGATGACCTGGTCCTTAGGAGGAAGTTCCTCTCCCGACCATGGACCCTCCTTCCCCTCACACCCAGATTAAACTTCCTTCCTCTCCCGGGGTGCCATGCACCTCCTTTCTTGTGTCTTTGAGGTCAGACCTGGGGTCATGGCAGGGCTGAGGCCTACTCCCAGCTCAGCCAGCTCCCTCCGAGGAGAAGCCTGGGAGCCAGGCTCCGTTCCTGACCAGCTGCGGATGCTAGACAAAGCCCTGCCCTGTCCTGTGACTCAGTTTCCCCGCCTTTATAGCAACAGTATGGTCGTTTTCGACCTCGTTTGAAACCCTGGAAGCACTGAGGACGAGGGAGACGTCCCTGTGCTGTGCCCCGGGGTCGGCCCTGCCCCCAAGGGGCTTGTCTTCCCAGCTGTGCCGTGGTGGAGAGGCAGCCTCTCTCAGCCTCTTCTCCCAGCTGGGATATCTCCCCCGGGATCCTGGCCCCCCCGACCCCCATGTGGAACTGCCTCCCACCCCAGTGTCTTCCCTGGAGACCTTATAAAGCCTTTGTTTACACTGGGGCTCACGGCGCAGGGCTCCGGCTGCCCCAGTGACAGGCCAAACACCAGGCAGCTTGAGCAACAACACAGCTGAGTCACACTTTCCAGCTGGATCCAGGCCAGGCTTGGCCCCTCTCCCTCCGGGCCAGCCTGCTGGGCAGCGGCTCCCAAGTCCATATATGACCTGGGGACAGCACCGGGCCCATCCCCTCCTCACCTGCACAGCCTCTCCGAGTCTGTGTGAGCACACGTGGGCTGTCTGCCCCCACCCCCTCGCCCGCAATGGCTCCGGGCCCCGAGGGGCATCTGAGGGCACCTCTAGCTCTGTCCCTGACTCCGTCAGTCAATCCCCTTGCTCCCTCTGGGTGTCTGTCTTTTCTCCACAAAATGGGTAGGAAGAGCGATGGGGCAAGGTAAAGAGCCACTAGGTAGCGGGGAGGAGGGATCAGGAGTTCCAATTTCTGGCCCAGCTCTGGCCTAAGCCCCCCTGGGGCTCCCTGAGCCCGCCCCTCTCCCCCTCGGAGCCTGCCTGGGGCGGGCAGCCCGCTCAGGGGAATTCCCTTCCGTGGCCCTGAGCGGAGGTGACCAGAGAGGACGTGCCACAGCTGGCCGAGGGATCCAGGACCCCAACCAGGAACATCTTTCCGTCAAACGGACCAAGATCCCGAGCCCCCCCCCCCCGAAGTCCCCCCGCATGGAGCACGGCACCCCCAATCCCCGGTGCCCAAACCGGAGGCCGGGGAGGCTTCCCTGACCCCCCTGCTGCCTCCCCCACTGGATCCATCAAGAAGCCTGTCCTTCTGCTTCTCAGTAAGCTTCTCCAGCTATCTAGTCCCCCCCCCCTTCGCTCCCCATCCCCCGTTCAAGGATTGTTCTAGAATGCTGACTAGACCAGTACACCCCTCCTCTGTCTGGGAAACTTTGATGACCTGGTCCTTAGGAGGAAGATCATCTCCGACCATGGACCCTCCCCTCCCCTCCCCTCCCCCTAGATTAAACTTCCTTTCGGGGGGTGGGGGATGGGGGTGGGGGGGAACATGCTCTCCACCTCCTGCACCCAGCCCGGGGCACAGGCTCACCCTGTTGTCTGGGGCTCCCTTCCCCTCCTTCAGCCTGAACTCTGCCCTTCCTTCCTATCCCAGCCCCGAGTGCACTTCCTCCAGATCGCTGCTCCTGCCGGCCCTGCAGGCAGGCCTGGGGCCTCTGGGGTCCCTCCTGCGCCTCCTCCACCTCAGTCCCGCTCGCTCGGCGGGGTCATCGCTGCCTCCTTAGGGCTCCTCCTGGCGCTTCTCAGGTCCCCCGGCTTGGAACCCCCCCTTCCCCACCCAGACCTCTCTCTGCGCCCCGCGGGGCAGGTTTGGGCGTGTGAGGCGGCGGGCGAACAGGCGTTTCTCACCGTGGGGCCCCCGCGCAGGGGTTAGGACTTTTTGGTTTTTACCAGCCCCTTCTGGACCAGACAGCGGTAGAACTCCTGGATGTACGTGTACACGCACTTCCAGTCTGGCTCTCGCAGCCGCACCATGTCCTCCGTGTCCAGGAGCTGCGGGCAGTCCGCATGGGTCCTGGGGAGGGGCCGGGAGGGGCAGGGAGGCGGGGCCCGGGCGGGGTGGGGGGGAGAGGGGGGAAGAGGAGGCAGAGAAGAGAGAGGGGAGTAGAACAGAGAGAGAGAGACACACACATACACAGAGACATGAGTTCAGTTACATTCCCGGTGCTGCAGTCTGCCAGACCCCCGCATGCCCCCGCCCCCCGGTGGACGTGCCGCTCACTACCCGTCACTAATGGTGCGCGATGCAGACAGGGGTGGGGGCCAGACCAGTCACAGGTGCAGAGAACTATTGGGGCAAGCGGGGACGCGGGGTGGGGGTGGGGGGCGATGACGTGGGCGCCCCCAGGTTGGGGAGAAGGAGGGCTGTGCCCCGGGGACGGGGGTGAGGGAGGCGTGAGAGGAGAACCAGAGAGAGAGAGGCAGAGGAGGAAGACGGATGGAAGAGGGTGCCGAGGGTGAGGTGAGCAGACGGGGGCAACGATTCCAAAATGGAGGGCTTGCTGGTATCCTATATAAGCCTCTGGCGATGCCTATATAGGCGGGGCGGGCACGGCGCCCGGGCCAGGAGCCTCCTTTTGGAATCTCCAGCCGGGGTCCGTGGGAGCGGGAAGCTCTGGTGACGGTGGGAGGAGAGGAGGACAGGGAAAGGGAGAGAGGGAGGAGGAGGAGGAGGCAGAGGGAGGATGGAGGGGCTATGGACAGGGCCACCTGGAGGGCCTCGGCCGGGGCTGGCAGGCGGGCCTGTGGCTCCTTCGCTCCGGCGGGCGCCTGGCACACTCACTCGGCATCGGGCGGGCGGGATGGAGAAGGACAGGGGCTTTTGGGGGAACCGGGTCAGCCACTGTCTGACAGTGCCGCTGGCCAGCTTTCGGGGCGGGGGGGGGGGGGCCCAGCCCCAGACGCCCCGCCAGCGCTGGCAGGGCCGAGGCCCACACTTACTCGGCGGAGGAGAAGGCCACCTCGAAGTTCTGGCGCCGGTTCTGCGGGCTCAGCTGCCCGTAGTCGAAGGCCTCGGGGAAGAAGTTGTGCACCAGCGCGCAGAAGGCCATGCCGTCGCTCCAGCTCGAGGAGAAGTTCTGGATGTCCACGTGCTACGTACGGGGCGGTGGGAGGACCTGTCAACTCCCCCCTGCCCCCCCAGGCCTTCTACCCCCATGATTGGGGCATCAGAGATCAGAGAGGCCCTGCGGCTCGTCCAAGGCTGCACAGCACATGAGCTCCTCCCACTCAGTCTGTCAGCTCGCACGGCCGCTCCTTACAGGGACAGCATGACCATGAGGTCCAGCACCATCAGCCATGGCCACGGCCCCATCGCTCCTTCCTTTACTTCCTAGGAATTTTCCCAGGGCCCCCCAGGGAGAGCAAGGAGGAGGGGACGCCAACGGTTAGGCCCATGGTCTGCAAACCGCGGCTCGCGAGCCACCTGCGGCTCTTTGGCCCCTTGCGTGTGGCTCTTCCACAAAATACCACGGCCTGGGCGAGTCTATGTTGAAGAAGTGGCGTCAGAAGAAGTTTAAGTTTAAATAATTTGGCTCTCTTGCCCTAGCCAGTGTGGCTCAGTGCATAGAGCGTCGGCCTGCGGACTCAAGGGTCCCAGGTTCGATTCCGGTCAAGGGCATCTTCCTTGGTTGTGGGCACATCCCCAGTAGTGGGTGTGCAGGAGGCAGCTGATGGATGTTTCTCTCTCATCGATGTTTCTAACTCTCTTTCCCTCTCCCTTCTTCTCTGTAAAAAAAAAAATTAAAAAAAATAAATATATTTAAAAAAAAATTGGCTCTCAAAAGAAATGTCAATCGTTGGTATTGTTGCTATTTGGCTCTGTGGACTGATGAGTTTGCCCACCACTGGGTTAGGGGCTGGCCCTGACACTTAGCTGGCCCGTTCTGGAATCTCGGGCACCTTTTGTGCCTCTTTGAGCTTGTTCCCACATCTCATCTTCATGCCAAGCATGGTGGCTGCGAAGGGCACAGGTTGGTGAGGAAGGGTCCTCAGTGCCCAGCTGCAGTTTGGGGGTGCCGCCTGCCGCCTGGCCTCATGGGGCTCACTCACCTCGTAGCCACGCGTCTTCGCTCGGCACCAGTCCAGCAACATCTGCTTGATGCTGTTGGCGTTGGGGACCCCGAAGCTGGTGGAGCGCTGTACTGCTGCACGGGGCCCGCCAGGGCTGCTGCAGGGGGGAGGGGGGGGTGGAGGAGAGGGAGGGGTAATTCTAGGGATCTGGATCACATGACCATAGGGGCCCTGCTTCTGCCAGCCCAACCACTGGGCCTCAGCTCTGCCATTCCTGACCTTCAGGCCCGCCCACCAACCACCGTTTGTGGCCTGCCCATCGCTGCCCATTACCCCACCCCAGTCCCCACCCTCTGCTGCTCACCCCGTAGCGCCCTCCTTCTCCAGCTTCTCAATCATGGCTTTGCGCGCCTGGGAGGCAGAGGTCTTGGGCAGGCTCTGCGCCTTCATCAGCTCCTTCTTCTTCTCCGCCTGGCGCTTCTCCAGCGCAGCCAGGCTGCCGGTGCGCGGGCTGCTCTCGTCCTCACGGTCGAAGATGCTGGGGGGCGGGGAGGCGACTATTAGGGGGCTCCCAAGCCTCAAACCCGACTCGACTCGCCACGTTGCAGGCCACACCCTACACTCCCACAGTATCTCCTCTGGCGACGCCAGCCAGCAAGGGAGGCGTCCTCATCACGCCCATTTCACAGAGGGGTACACTGAGGCACAGGAGAACAACAGAAGGTGGGAGCCAAGTTCTTCTCCACAGACTTGGCCACACGGGGAGTTCTCCCAGAAGGCTTACGTGTTGTTAAGTTCCAGGTGAGGTCAGACCTCGTCATAATAGTCATGGTAACAGTAACTATAGCTCATGACGTCAGCCTGTGGGCCGAAAGGTCCTGGGTTCTATTCCGGCAAGGGCCCATACCTAGGTTGTAGGCTCCCAGTCCTGGGTGAGGGCACGCGGGAGGCAACCAATCCATGTGTCTCTCTCATATCGGTGTTTCTCTCTAGCTCTCTCTCTCTCCCTTCCACTCTCTCTAAAAATCAATGGGAAAAATATCCCCAAGATGAGAGTTAAAAAATAATACCTCCTGTCTATGGAGCCTGTCCTATGTGCCACTGAAATCTACAAGAGGAGAGAGGGACCCTTCCCATTCACTCCAGTGATGAGGAAACGGACGGGGGACCCGGTCCTCAGAGGTCAGAGGGCCTGGCGAACAGCGCAGGGACTTGGGAAGGCAGGTCTCTCTGACTCAGTCCCTGGACCCCTCTGGTCCCCAGCCTGAATTCTTTTTTATTTTTTTAAAATATATTTTATTGATTTTTTTATAGAGAGGAAGGGAGAGGGATAGAGAGCTAGAAACATTGATGGGAGAGAAACATCGACCAGCTGCCTCCCACCCTCCCACACCCAACTGGGGATGTGTCTGCAACCAAGGTACATGCCCTTGACCGGAATTGAACCTGGGACCCTTCAGTCCGCAGGCCGACGCTCTATCCACTGAGCCACACCGGTTCCGGTCCCCAGCCTGAACTCTGATTCCTGTCACTGCTTTCTGTCAGCCCTGACATCTCTGTAACATAGACGGAGGGGTGTCCCCCTCCCTCACGGGTCTTCGGTACGGAGGTGCTCTGTGACTCGGGATGTGGTCTGCAGACCCGGAAAGTGGCAGTGCTCCCGGGCAGCTCCGTGGGGCAGATAGGCCTGTCAGGGCTCAGTGCTGCCACTCGGAGCTGTGTGACCCGGAGCACAGACCTCCGGCCTCCCCTGGGGTGCAGCTGAGGATGAGGTGAGACTACAAGGCCAGCAGAGGCGGTCTGATTCCCACTCTAGCCTTATCACCGCCCTGCACCTCAGTCTACCCCTCAGTGGAATGGGTGTGTGTAAGGTCCCCTGTGATGCTGACTCCTCTGAGGCCCGGGGGTGGGTACCTGTGCTCACCTGCCCATCTTCTTGGAGGAGGAGGAGGAGGAAAAGGTCTTGGTTTGGACCACGGTGCTGCCGCCGCCGTCTGTAAGAAAAGGGAGCAGAGCAGGGTGAGGCCTGGGCTGGACGTGGGGGGACGGGGCGGGGGTCCGGGGGAGAAAGGGCGGTGGCCACAGGCGGAGAAGAGAAAGTGACGACTGGACAGAGACACACACACACAAAAATACGGAGAGAAAGTTCGAGGAGGAGCCTGGGCGGGCAGGCGGGCGGACAGCGGGCACAGGCGTCGTCGCCGGGGGGCCTTACTCTCGGAGCGCCTCACGAAGCTCGACTCCACCGTGGTGGTGCGGGCTGTCCGCGTGCCGTCATCTGGAAGGGCGGGCGGGGGCGGGGGGGGGATGTGAGTGGCACAGGGACCAGGGAGGTCGCCATGCCCCCGCCCTGAGCCCTGACTGGCTCCTTACTGGAGTGGACGAGCCGCTCGGTCTTGGTGACGGTGCTGACAGCCGAGCCGTCGGCCGCCCGGTGGCTGTGCCGCGTGGTGGTCTCGGTGGCCACGTTGCCCCGGCCCTCCGCTGGCCGGGCCCTTGCCTCTTGCAGCCGCCGTTCCCGTTCCTTGTCCCTCTGGTCTGGGCGGGGGGATGCCCCATGCGCGCCCAGAAGGGCCACCCGTCACCCACACAGCACATAACGCAGGGCACGTAAAACGGGGTGGAGGGCGACTTGTTAGAAACACTGAAGGCATGGGGCGCAGGGAGCGGCTAGGGGTGAGGGAGTAGCCACAGTGTGGCAGGGAGTGGGGGCGTGTGGTGTGGGGTGATGGACTTGAGGAGGAACAAGGGAATATGGAAGAGCTGAACTCACAGGAGGAGTATTTGGATCCAAAAGTGGGAGTTCCTATGGAACTCAGCAGCTGAGTCTAGAGGGAGTATCTAGATTTAGGGAGGAGCAGAGTCCAGGGAAGGAGAAACTGGGTGAGGGCCGAGGCTGAGTGGGCCTTCAAATGGGTCTTAACTGGGAGAAAAGTGCAGGGAGGAAGGAATATTTAGATCCAGGGAGGGAGAAATTGGAGGTACCTGAGAAGCAATTTGATCCAGGGTGACAGTGGTTGGGAGAGAAGGTGGCAATGGGGGTAACTAGGCCCCAAGAAGGAGTCGGAGGCTGAGTGGCCATGAGTGGGCCATGGAGGAAGCAGCTAGATTCAGAGAGGGAGTCAGTGAGAGTGTCTGGAGGAGCAAATGAACCTAGAATCTGAGGGAGATAATAGGTGCGTGGAGGAAGCAGTAGCTTTGCCCAGGGAAGGGGAAGCTGGGTGGGAGTAGAGACTAAGGTGGTCACTGATGGGCCTCCAGGAGAAAGGAGCAGCTGGGAGAAGGAGTATCTGGATTCAGGGGAGGAGTGGCTGACAGGACTGGGAGAAGCAATTGGATCTAAGGAGGTATAGCTGGGAGAGAGAGGAACGTGGTCTAGGAAGGAGAAGAGAAACGGGTTGGGGACAGTAACTGTGGAGAGAGGAAGGGGAGAAGCAGCTAGGGAAGGGAGCAGCTGGGGAAGGGAGGCCGAGGGACAGCTGGGTCTACAGAAGACGCTGAGTAGGGCAGTTACTGAGCTGGTGTGCCCATGAATGGACTGCAGGGTAGGGGAGCAGCTGGGGAACGAAGTAGCTGGGGAAGGGAGCAGCTGGATCTGGAGGGGCAGCTGGCTATCTACCTCTCTTCTTTTGTCGGAGCTCACGTAGCGCGGCCCGAATGAGCTTCCGCTCCTGGAAGTCCGTCGTCTGATCCAGCTGCAGACAGAGCCCTGGTCATTGCCCACCTGGTGCTTGCTGGTCGCTGCCCCTGTCCTCCCCGCCCCCCGCCCCCATCCCACCAGCTCTGGCTGTACCATCTTGTCCAGGACGTCCTCATCCTCAATGGCCATCAGCTCCTCGGTGCTCAGGGGGCTCCGCCTCTCGGGAGTTTTGTCCACCTGGGTCTGTTCAGTGCCATTGGCCACGTCCACGGCAGCCACGTCCACGGCAGCCACGTCCACAGCAGCAGAGGGGGGCTCTGCCGGCTTTGGTTCCATCTGGGGGTGGGGAGAGGGCATGGGCGTTAAGCAGGGGACGGGATGAAACCAACATGGCCACGTTGGTGTCAGGCTCAGGGAAGAGGCACTGAGAGCCTTGTTGTAGGATTTCGGCCCCCTGCTGGGGATCGAGCCCACCACTTGGGCATGTGCCCTTGACCGGAATCGAACCCAGGACCCTTCAGTCTGCAGGCCGACGCTCTATCCATTGGGCCACACCAGCCAGGGCTACTCTCTCTGTGGGACAGAAGGGAACGCTGAGGCTATTCTGACTTGTCTATGAGCGCAATGCAGCCCGGAGTCCGAGCTAAAGCGAGCCTGATTCGTGAACCTGAGTCCTTTCTCCTGGTTCCTTTCCAGCCCTGGGCGGGCTGTGCTCGGTCCTGCCAGTTTCCAAGGCCTGGGAACTCCTGGGCCGGAGCCCAGGCAGCGCATTCCAGCCCCGCACTCACCCCGCCCCCCCCCCCCCATACACACCGAGGAGGCTGGACCAGGGCCCACAGGCTCCAGACCAGGTGTCTGCCTGGGACTGCCCCAGCCAAGTCCTCTCTGCCACCCATGGGGAACCACCCTCTTGGGGGCCTCCAGCCTCCACCTAGGGGAAGGGCCCAGCCTGGGCCTCCATGGGCATCTCCCTGGCCCCTTGCACGCAAGTCCCCTGCCCGGCGATCGCAGCCCCTCCCTCCTGGCAGGGCCTGGCCGTCTGCTGCAGGGTAAGGAGAGCTGAGGTGGCAGCTGCTCCAGGGAGGCTCAGCCTGGCGGAGGCAGGAGGTGGGGGTGAAGCTGGGGGCTGGGCCCTGGCCAGGGGCTGCCGGGGCAGCCGCTGCGAGCGCCCCAGGGCCAGGAGCCCGGTCCCCTCTCGCCTCCGTCTTGGAGCGTTCGCGCGCCTCGGTCCCTTATTCGGATAGGTAAACTGAGAGGCTCAGAGAGGGTGGTGGCACACCTCAGGTCACCCAGCAGAAGCAGAGCCTGGCTCGGAGCCACCCTATCCTCCCTCCCCTTCCCCCTTGGCCCCTAGGGACTTACGAGGCTGCTGCTGTGGGCGAGACCAGCCGAGGAGCGGCGGCGGGTGCTGAAGGCAGGCGGGTGGGCCACGGGGGTCCCAGCGCCCTCGGCTGCCTGGAACAGGGCCTCGGGGTCCGCGGCGGCCAGGAGCAGCTCGCTGGGCTCCAGCTCGGGCTCAAGGTCGGGCACGAGGGGGACCCCGAGGCGCAGGCTCAGCGCTTCCACCTGCCTGCCCAGCGCATCCAGCCGCCGGCTCAGCACGGCCGTCTCTGCCCGCAGCTCCTCCGTCGCCCGGGCCACCGGCTCCACGGCCGACACGGCTTCCTCGGCCGCCTGGGTCACCGCCGCCCGGCCCGCCTCGGCCACCGCCCGCAGCTCCTCCAAGGCCTGGCTCAGCCGTTCCTCCAGGGCTGCGGTCAGCGCGGACGCAGGCCCCGGGACCCCCGGCATGGTCCTGGCGGGGGGGTGGAGGGGGGCTCTACGGTGGGGTGACGGTGGGGACAGGGGCCGGGACTGCTGCCTCTGGCTGGTATGCCAGAGCCTTTGCAGCTGGTCTGAGGGCGAAGGCAAGGGCAGTGGGCCTGCCCCGCCCCTGCTGGCCTCCCGGCCCTCCACCCGCCAGCTGGGGCTGCAGCCCAAATAGAAACCTATTCTGAGCCGACTGTGGAGGGGGCCTGGGGGAGGGGCGGCCTGCCTGAGCAGTTGGACCGCTAGGCTGGCCCCGGCCCTGCAGAGATCTCGCCCGGAGCCTGGCAGGTCTGCACGGGGTGGGAAGGAGGCCCGAGGCCAGCGTCCCCGGTCCCACGGGTGAGACAGCTGAGGGAGGGGCCTGCCTGGGCTTCCGTGGGCTTCAGCTGTGAGGATCCCGTCTGCTGGACCCCAGAGCTGGCACCCCTTTGCCCTCATGCCATGCTGGTCTAGAAAGCCTTGAACGGACAGAGGCAGGAGGGGAAACAGAGGCAGGAGGTGGAGCAGCCTGCTGTAACAGGTGCCTTCTCCCTGGGAGAGGCCCTGGGATCCAACCGCAGGCTCTGAGCAAGCACACGAGAGGCACGCTCTCTGCTTTCCTTTGGTTCCAGATGGGGAAACCGAGGCAAGGTGGTGGCATCAGACCCAGGGCTCAGAGTGACATTTCCCACCCACCCCAAGGGCCTCGGCCATCCCCTCCCCTCCCCTCCTCGCTCCCTGCTCTGTGGGGGAAGGCTGCCTTCCCGCCCCCACCCCCTCTCTCCCTGTCACCCCTGAGGAGGCCCAGAGCTGGCTGCAGCTACCGCACCTCCGCCGAAGTCCCATTCGGTCCCCGGGGCGGCACGGAGGCCATTACCTGGGCAGCCAAGCGGCCCGCGGGGGATCCCTTCCCCAGCCGAGCTCCCAGCCAGCTGATCCCGGGCTCAGGGATGAATAATGGAAGGGTGCGACGGATTCGATTCCTGTGGCACCTGCTGGGTTGCTGCCTCACCTGACGGGCGCGCTCACCTCCCCCAACCACCCCCCCCCCCGATCTGTCCCCCCTCAATGCTTCTGCCCAGCACCCCCTCCCCCTGAAGTGTTGACGCAGATGCTAATCGCTAATCTCCCATCTTCTGAGAGGCCAGGCTGATCTCGGATGAGCACATGAGCAGCTCTGAACCTCAGAGCTGATGTCCAGGGTGGGGTGGGGGGGAGTGGGGGCCCTGGAGCTGTCACAGAAAGCGGGGGCACGCCTGTACCCCGCTCCCTACCCCCTCGGTTTCCCCGTTTGTTCATTAGGAGCGAACCAACCCACTTTGGAGGAAGAGCAGAGACCAGCATGGGGGGAGCCCAAGGCACACAGAGTGAGTTTCCGAGACATCCAGCGGGCGATAGGCTAGCGTCTGGCCTTGGCTGTGCCACCAACCGGTTGCGGTCTGTGGGCAGCCGCCTTCTCTCTCTCTCTCTCTCTGGGCCTCAGTTTCCCCACGTGCATGGCAGGAGAGGAGCGGAGGCGAGGAGCCCTCCACCCCTGCGCCCAGAAGCAGTCTCTCACCTTGATGCTGCAGCCTCCTTGGCCCCCAGCGGAGGCATGGCTGAAGCTGGTGACGTGTGTGACGCTGCCCAGCCGGGCCGGTGCCCCGGGGCCGCTGATGTGGGTGATGGTGGTACTCTTGCCCCCGCTGCTGGTGCTCAGGAGGGTGGGGGGCGCCCGCAGCCCCAGCGTCAGCTCTGGAAGGGGAGGGAGGCTACTGTAGAGACCAAGTGGGGTGAGGACGTCCCCCTTGCCCCCAAGACCCCCTCTGGAGACACCCTGAGCCCTGGCCGCGGCACCTGCACCTGCCCGAGGTGCGGGGCTGGGCAGCAACGGGCACCGGTCTCCGGCCCTGGGGAGGCCTACCTGCCCTCTGGCTGCCTGCGGGCAGCAGCACCCGGCCTGTGGGGGCCTGGCCGCGGCCGTCCTTGATCTCGATGGTGAACGTCGTCTTCATGTTGGCCCCTGGCTCGGCAGTGCCGACGGCCACGGGCAGCAGGGCACCCGGCTCCTCTGAGCAGGCCACGGCCCCCCCTGCTCCATTTTCAAGGGGCCTGGCAGCCAAGCCCCGCCCCCTGGGGCCCTCCTCCCGGGGGCAGCTCTGAAGCGGGGCCAGGGGCTGGGCTGTTCCTCGCTGCTCTTTGCTGAACCGGGAGGAGGCATCGCTGGAGCCCCGTGCGGAGGAGCGGCTGGAGGAGGAGGAGGAGGAGGAGGCAGGGGTGGTGCTGACGGGGGAGGAGCCCGGGAGCCTGGCTGGGGTGGAGGGACCTAGGGCTGCCCGAGGGGGGCCATCCTGAGCCATCGGAGAGTCCGACGTGAACTTGCGCATGCGGTCCCGCACGGAGCCGGCCCGCTGGAACGAGGGAGGTCCGCTGGCAGGAGGGGTGGGCTCTGGAAGGGCAGGAGGGCTGTCAGTGGCCGGGTGGCACGGGCACTGCCCAGAGCCCGGGGTAGTGGAACAGCAGGCAGTACCTCGGTTCTGGGCCGGCTGGCGGGGGCTGAGCACGGAGCGTTGGCAGGGATGGGGTGCAGCTGGTTGGACGGAATAGGGAGGGGAACAGGAAGGAGAGTGGGTGAGGGTCCCCCTCTCACAGGCCTCTCCTCCACACGTCCGCAGCCTCCCTGCACCCCAACCTCCCCCGCCCATCCTGCACCTCCCACAGCTCTTGGCCTCCCACTCAGTGGCCTTTCTTACAGCCCCCCCCTGCCCGCCCCGCACTGACCCCAGGGTGACTTGGACACTCCTGGGGGCTGGGGCCAGGCGTGGGTAGGAGGAAGGGTGCCCAGACCCTCCCTGCAGACGGGGATGGAGGACGCCCCCGCTGGCCAGCGCTGCCCACGGCCGCAGCTGGGCGATGGGCGCACTCCCTTATTGGGGAAAAGAATGTGCCCGAGGCCCGTTGCCTTTCAAGGCTGCGGGGAGGCCTCTGGCCACGAGTGGGAGGGGGTGGGGACACCTCGGGTCAGTGGGAGGAGTGTCAGGGACTGCCTGGACCCGAGGAGGCCGGCGCTGTCTGGGCACCAGAGCCCATTTCCCGGGCAGGGAAAGAGAGGCCGGGGAGAGGGAGGGCAGGCGCTCGTGGCTGCCCCCGCGGGGACCCTCACCTGCTCTCTTCGTGCTGGGAGGGCCTGTGGCGGGGCCCTGGGCAGCGGGGGGCTCTGGGGGGCCGGGTGGGAGCTGTAGGGGAGACGCGGCACGGGTAGGGCCTGACTCCCAGACCAAGGAGCTCACCTGCCCGGCATCCCTCCCCGTCCTCCAGACTCACCTTGGTGACCTCCTGTCTCTCAGTGCTGCGGGGGGCCGGAGCCTCCTGGGGCTCAGGGCTGGCGGCCCTGGGGGGACTGGCGGCCCTGGGCGGGCTCGAGGGTGGCTTGGGGCTACGCAGAGCCTCAGCGGCAGGGCCCTGGGCCTCGGCAGGCTCCGGCGGCGGCTCAGGGGAGGCAGTGGGCGGGGAACTGGCAGGGGAGGCAGGGGAGCTGGCTGTGCTCCCAGCTGGCACCTGCACCAGGAGCGTCACGGTGGTCACATCCCGACTGGTGACGGCGGGGGGCGGCTCTGGGACCTCTGCCCGCTGCTCCCGCTCCTCTGGCTCTGGCACCTGCAGAGCACGCACAGGCTGCAGCCCCGGCTCCCCAGGCTGGCAGGCAGGTGCTCAGGGTGGGGCATGCAAAGCAGAGGAGCCGGGCACGGCTTCCCGCAGGCCTGCCTGCACCAGCGTGGGCCCGGGCAGGCCGCGGGCAGCCTCTGGCCATCCTTCCCCGCATCTTGGCGTTGCCTAGCCACGGGCAGTTCAGAGAGCCCGGATCCAAATGTCAGGGCGGGGGGGGGGGGGGGAGGGGGCAGAGGAAGGCGGGGGGCGGCAGGAGACCTTCCGGGGACCCCCAGACTGAATCGATCCCTGGAGCGGAGGTCCCTGACACTGGCCTCCGCCTGGCTGGTCAAGGGGGGGAGGGTGGGTGTCCTGCCAGGGACCCGGCCGCCTCTGCTGGCGCCTTCAGAGACCTCCATGGCCAGGCCTCTCACCCACACGCCCCGGAGAACAGAGTCCACTCTGTGAACAGGGCTCTGAAGGCCAAGGTAAGGACGTGGGCTGCCTGGAGGGGGAGGGGCAGCTGCAAGATAGGCTTTGGCTGGGGAGGGGCCCGGGTCAGACTGCATTTCGGGTGGATCCCCTGCGTGCCGAGTGGAGGCCGAATTGGCTGGCGTGAGGGCGGAAGACCAGCAGGGAGGTCAACGCGGAGGTGATGGGAGACAGACAGGAACCTGGGAGCAGGGCGGGCAGGCTGGCTTTGGGGGGAAGGCGTGGGTATAGACAACTGGGAAGTGGTGAGGGGCGGGGGGGGGGGGGGGAAGGGGGGAAAGAAACATATGGCCAGAGGGTGCCTGGGAGAGTGGGCAGAGCCCTGAGATAGACTCCTAGTGTCCCCCAAACACTGCTGGGGGCCCTTTTCAGGCAAGAACCAGTTTAGCAAAGACACAGGTGGTACGGCCACCTCTTACCTCACACCGCTCCAGCCTCTGTGGCTCCAGCCTCTGTGGCTCCAGCCTCTGTGGCTCCAGCCTCGGTGCGACCTGCCCCTTGCTGTCCTCTCCTGAGCCACTGTTGGAGCGCCCAGCGCACAACCTCCCAGCCAAGGTGATAGCTAAGAGAGAGAGGGAACCTCTCAGGTGAGTGGCCGGTGGTGCTACGGGTGGGGGGGTGGGGGGGGAGCCAGGGCGGGCACGTACCTTCAATCTCCTGGGCCCGGACTCGGCGGATGGCAGCCCGGATCAGCTTGCGTTCCTCATACTCACCGGCCCCTCGCAGCTGTGGGCGAGAGGCGGGCCACGGGGGTTGGGCCACGAAGTCCAGGCCCCCGCCTGCCCTGCCCCCAGCCCCCGCTCCGGCCCGGGCCTCACCAGCGCGGTCAGCTCCTCCACATCGTTCATGGACTCCAGCCGCCCCGCCAGCTTCGCCAGAGCGGCCCGCTGCTCGGCCTCTCGCTGCTGAGAGCTGCCAGGAGAGCGTGTGCCTGTGACTCCCACGGCCGTGGCCGGGCCGTGGCCAGGCCGTGGCGGAGGTGGGCTGAGGGCAGGGGCCAGGACAGGGTGCCCAGAAGCTTGGCAGAGGGCCGTGGAGCTAGGAAAAGCCTCCGGCTACATGCTGGTGCATGCATGCCCGTGGGTGTGAGCACGCATGTCACACACTCAGACGTGCTGTCCACGTGGGCGTGGCCAGGGCACCGTGACTGGCATGTGGTCCGTGCCCACAGACACCCCTGTGGATTCTGCCTGTACGGCCACGTGCACACCCAGAGAGTCAGCGGACACACACCCCTGTGTCTGCCCGCACACGCTGAGCTGAGTCCGTCCTGGCACATACTCCCCCCCCTCCCCCCACACACACTCACTGCAGCCAGTTCTCCTTGTTGTCCTGCCGCTCGGCACGGAAGCGCTTGGATGCCAGGGCCTCCTCCTCCCGCTCCAGCTCCTGCCGCTGCAGCTCCCGGATGGCCGATCGGATGCGCCGCCGCTCCGCCAGGTCCACCGTGGCCTCCAGCTGTGGGGCGGGCGGGCGGGCGGGGCGAGGGGCAGGTCATTATGGCTGCCAGGGGCGGGCACCCGCTGCCCACGGCTCAGCCTGTGGCACAATGAGCAATCTGTCTCCACACCCTCTGCCCCAGCCTGTCACGTGCCCGCCCGCCCGCCCGCCCACCCAGCATGTCTCCAGCTCAGGACGCCTGGGCTTTAAAAAAAAATTATATATATATATATATATATTGATTTCAGAGAGGAAGGGAGAGGGAGAGGGAGGTAGAAACGTCAATGATGAGAGAGAATCATTGATTGGCTGCCTCCTGCACACCCCCTGCTGGGGATTGAACCCACAATCTGGGCGTGTGCCCTTGACTGGAATCGAACCTGGGATCTTTCAGTCCTCAGGCTGATGCTCTATCCACTGGGCCAAACCAGCTAGGGCGAGCCTGGGCTTTTTTTTTTTTTTTTTTTTTTTTTTTTAATATATTTTATTGATTTTACACAGAGAGGAATTGAGAGGGACAGAGAGCTAGAAACATCGATGAGAGAGAATCATCAAACAGCTGCCTCTTGCACACCCTCCACTGGGGATGTGCCCGCAACCAAGGTACATGCCCTTGACCGGAATCGAACCCAGGACCTTTCAGTCCGCAGGCCGACGCTCTATCCACTGAGCCAAACCGGTCCTGGCAAGCCTGGGCTTTTTGACAGCCCCCCCCCCCCCCCCCCGCTCCACCCACCCATGATCCACCCAGTGGGGAGCCAGCAATTGTCCGCCTGGGCCAGGGGCTAAGCCAGGCACTCCTTCCTCTGACCCCTGCCTCTCAGAGCCACTCATCCCACCCCCCAGAGCCAGGGGATTGTGGGAGGAGGAGGAGGAGGAGGAGGAAGAGGGAGGAGGCCATCTTCTGGGCCCCTCACAGTGTCCCTGGGAAAGACAGGTTGTGGACTCAGTCGGCTGAGCAAGCAAGATTCCCATTGTCTAGTTCCAAAGCATCACAGCCCTGCTGGGGGGTGGCGGCCTCACCCACACTGGACAGATGGGGAAACCGAGGCAGGAGCTATTGTGTTCCCTGCACTGGCCAGGCCTGGCCACCACTGAAGGGGTGAAAGAGCCCAGAGTGGGAGGGCCAGATCACGTTCTAAGGTTCACCCAGGGCGTCCATGGGGGACAGGTGCTCCCACAGGCTCCTGAGCCCCTCATCCCTGGGACGTTGGGGGGGGGAGAGGGCGGGCGGGGGGGGGGAGGGCTGGTCTAACCAGGTCTAGGAAAGGGCACCTTCTCTGGGGAGTCAGCCAATCCCCGCCCCCTCCAGAGGACTGACTGCCCCAGGGCCCCCAGGAAGATCAGGCAGAGAGAAGCCTCAGTGTGGGGCTGAGCCAGAGGGAGAAGTACAGTCCAGGTGGCTGCTTCTGCCCCCACCCCCTACGTCCCTTAGGAGCGGGGGGCCCTCTGCTCCCCTTCCTTCCTAGCCTCCGCCCTGCTGCAGGCGGAGCCAGATGGGGTGGAAGTTTGAGCAGGGAGTGTGGGCTGGCCCTACCCCCAGGAGCTCACTTGTCCCAATGGGAACGGAGCAGGGAAAGCCCTGGGGACAGAGTCACTCAGGCTCCCTCAGGCTCCACATTCCTGGGACTCTGAGGAGGGTCAGCCCAGCATTCCCAGCTGACTGGTGCAGACTAGTCCCGGCTGGTGGTCAGGAGCACGTCCTTGACCTCTGTGTCTTGTGTCAGATGGAACAATGCCTCCCACTCAGGGCATGGGTGGGGTGGGGCAGTGAGTCTCCTTCCCCCCCGCTCCTGTCACCTAGCTTCGGCTGCTGCAGTGAGCTTTACCCCCACCCACCCACCCACCCACCCACACTTAGGAGGAGGGAGAACTGAGGGCAAATGAGTACAAAATACCAAGGTAACAGTAATACTAAGAATCTGTATGCCAGATCCTGTGCTGAGCCCCCTACTGGTCCTAAACTCGCAGAAACCCTGGCACTTTATTACTCCCATTTGACAGACGAGAAAACCGAGGCTCCGGGAAGAGAAGCCATTTGCTTGTGGCCCAACGATCTGAGCCAGAATTTGAATCCAGGTCTCTCTGAGCTGGAGGAGACCCACTCACTGGGGCCTGTCTGCCACGGTGGGTACCTTGACACTCTGTTGGGGTCCCCTTCTAGCCTGGACTAGGGATACCTATAACAGGCCTGTGGGGGGTGGGGGGGCGGGGAGGCTATTACAGCAGAGGGAGCGAGAATGAAGCTCACCTCCCCACCTCCCAGGCCTGGCCTTGCCTCAGGCAGCACCCTCTGGGGTACACTTGGAGTTGGGGGCCAAAGGGCAGATCCAGCCCTCCCCATGCAGAGGGCAGGAGGCTTAGAGGCCATGACCAGCCCTTTGTCACTGCGTCCCCCTTCCCAGAGCCCTGAACTCCTGTCTCTGAGGGAAAAAAGAAAAGAAAAAAAGCCCGAACTTGGCCACCTGCAGCACCTGGAGCGTCAGTGTCCGCGCCTGGAAAACGGGCCCCTGTTCCAGCCTCCTCCCCCCGTGGGCAGGGCAGGGCTGGGGGGTGAACAGCTTCATTCCGCTGGCCACCCTCCAGCATGACCCCTCCCTGGGCCTGGAGGTCTAGATCCGCCCAGTGGCCCTGCTGTGTGTCCTGCCTCGGAGGGGCCCCCCTCCGGCCCCACTGCTGTGTGTGGAGGGGGCCGTGGGAGGGAGGGAAGGAAGTACAAAGCGCCATTGTCCACCGGGGGGGAAGGGGAAAGGGAGGGGGCGGTTTCCGAAACTGCCCGGCGGAATTCTCCGGGGAGGAAAGACGGCGCTTCCTCCTGAGGAGGGGGGCGAGGGGGGGCCTCCGGGGTCTCTCTGCCCACGCTGCGGGGGCCTCCGACAGCCCCTGGCCTCCGTCTCCCGCCAGCACAAGGGAGGGGACCCACCAGCCCCGGGGTCGGCACCCTGCGGCTCGCGAGCCACCTGCGGCTCTTTGGCCCCTGGAATGTGGCTCTTACGCCACGGCCCGGGAGAGTCTATGTTGAAGAAGTGGCGTTAGAAGAAGTTTAAGTTTAAAAAAGTGTGGCTCTCCAGAGAAATGTCCATCGCTGTCCTGTTGCTGTTTGGCTCTTGTGGACTGATGAGTTTGCCGACCACTGACTGCCCTGGACAAACTTCCTTCATTCCTATCCGGGGGACCCGCCGGCAGGGGGCGTTGGAGGCCCGCAGTCTCCGAACCGCCGACCCTGCCGAGGCCACGCCCCCATCTGGCCTCAGGCCCCGCCCCCAGCCCCGCGCTAGGCGCCGGGAGAGGCGGACGGAAATACCCCCGTCCCGGCTGCTAATACCCCGGTCCGGGCTGCTAATACCCCGGTTCGGGCTGCTGTTTTTTTTGTTAACCCTCATCCAGGACATTTTCCACTGATTTTTTTCCCTTTTATTTATTATTATTTTTTTTAGGGAGAGTGGAAAGGAGGGGAGACACCGAGAGAAGCACCCACGTGAGAGAGACACACACGGGCTGGCTGCCTCCCCCAGGCTCCCCAACTGGGGCTGGGGCCACGTGCCCGGACCAGAATGGAACCGGAACCCTTGGCCAGTCTGCGGGCGGACGCTCCACCCCCTGGGCCACACCGGCAGCTGGGCCCGGCTGCTTCCCGGCCTCCGCCACGGAGGGAGAGAGGAACCGGGGTTCACGGAGCGGAAGGAAGCAGCTCCCCCAGGCCTCCCAGCGAGCGAGCGAGCGAGCGTCGGGAGTCCGGGCTCGAACCCCAGACCGCGGCGTCCTTAGGTGCCCCCGGCCGCCCGGCCGCAGGAATGCGCGGGAGTCGGAGCCGGAAGCGGCTCCCGGGTCCCCGAATCGGCCCGACGCCGCGGGGCGGGGGCCAGCGCGGCCTTATAAGGGCCGGGCCGCGGGGAGGAGCCGGCTGGGGCGCCCCCTCCTGCCACGAGGCGCCGGGCCGGGCCCCGCGCGGGGCGGGAGCCTCGGGAGGAACCGGCCGGGGCCGGGGAGACCTCGGGCGGCTTTGGGGTGCAGGGAGGAGGGGGGCCGGGTCCTAGGAGTCCTCTCCCTGGGTGGGGTCGGGGGGAAATGGGGGGTCGGCGGCTTTGGGGTGCAGGGAGGAGGGGGGCCGGGTCCTAGGAGTCCTCTCCCTGGTTGGGTGGGGGGAAATGGGGGGCCGGCTGCAGCCACGCGTCCGATCTCCCGATCTCTCTCCAGCGCCCAGACCCCACGCGGCTGGAGAACCCCAAGCCGCAGAGGGAACCCCTAGAGGGCCCTAACCCTGCATCTCTGTCTGGGAGGCCCAGCCGGGACGCCCTTCCTCAGAATTCCAACTTCCTCAATGGAGGTCGGCCTGACCTTTGGACTCCCAGCCCCTCCCCTCCGGCTGCAGCCGAGGGCAGACACCGGGGAGTCTGAGGTGTGTGCTGGTCTGAGGCGCTCACACTGGCCTGGATAGATCCCGGCGGCCAACGGCTGCCTCGGTCCCCCGCCTCCAGAGGAATGGCAGTCAGGAGTGGGGTGGGTCACCTGCCTTCTCCCAGGGAAGGTAAATCTGTGATGTCTGCCCCGGACAAGGGTCAGGGGCTGGAGGGACGGGCATCCAGTTCAGCTGCTCTCTGCCCTTGCTGGTGGGCACATGCCTGGCCTGTCGTATGGCCCACAACCTCTTTGTGTGTGGGGGGGGGGGGCGGGGGGAGGCAGGGGTTCGGGTACTCAGGAAAGGGGATAGGTTGGGCCCACTCTTGCCTCAAGATCTAGACCCCCATGCCTCCCCCCCTCCCCCCACAACTCTCAGACCTAGAGATTAGGTTCACACACACCCTCCCATTTCATAGGGAAAGACACTGAGGCTCAGAGTGGGAAAACGACAGGCTGGGAGCCCCGGCTCCTAAGGCTCTCCCGGCCTTGACTTGCTCAGGACTCGGGGTTCTCCCTTGAGGTTTGTTTGGATCCTGGCACCCCCTCTTCCTAGCTGGGTGCCTCTGGGCGGGAGGCAGAGTCCTCTTTGCTCTCAGAGTTGCTGTGTCCATTCAGGGAGACGGTGTGCCCAGCACCCAGCCTGCCCCTGCTGTGCCCTGGCATTATTAACCCCTTCACGGGGCCAGCGTCCAGGGGAGGGGGCACTGCCCAGGTGGTTGCTGGGAAGAGGCCCATCGAGCCTCCCCACACTGGTGGCTGCATATGGGCGAGTCCTGAGCCAGTTACTGTTTAAACAGGTGGCAGCCGTGGCCTCAGCACCTGGCACGGTCAGGCATATGCCATGGGGGCCTCTGCATCAACCAAGTGGAACAGGCGGAGCCCTCCCTGCTCCCGCGAACCCTCCTCCCCCTCCCCTGCCCTGTCATCTCCTCTGGTCCCTGCCTCTCCGGCCTCGCACGGGGGACGACGGGACCACTTACCAGCTTCCGCAGGGCGCCCTCATCCAGCCCAGCCAAGGCCTCGTCCGCCATCTTGCTGGCCCCTAGCTCCGTGCGTCCCCTCCTGGTGAGATCCTCAGTGCCTGTGGCACCTGACACCAGCTCAGCGAATTCTGCAGGGGACAGACTAAGTCAGGCCTGCGGGGGGGACTCTCCCAGTGCCTCGGTTTCCCCTCTTCCCCATGACGATTCGTTGCTGTCCTATCCTTGCTTCAGGCTGGGAGCTGCCCTCTGCCCCGGGTGGCGTGCTGGAAAGCTCAACCAGCCAAGGGTCTCGGGTTCCAGCCCAGACAACGCAAAGGCAGGCCTGAGCCAGACCCTCGCCCCTACGGAGCATCTCACAGGGAGGGGAGGGGCCCCAGCAAGGCCCACCCAAGCTGTGATCGCCGCCAGGGGGTGCCCGCCGGGCTCCACAGTTTCCTGCCCCACCCACCCAGCCCTAGGGCCTGCCCAGCTCCAGTGCCCCCAAAAGGCTCAGCCTCTGGCTGCGGGCTGCGCCCATGTCCAAGCCCTGGCTGCGACTGCCACTCTCATCCCCTGAGGTGATCTCAGCCTTGAAGGTGACACCCTGTCTTTCCATTCCCGAGGACCGCCCTCTGTCAACACCCCTCTCCCCGCCTCCCCTTTCTGCCCTCCCCCTGATGCCAACTGCCCTGAAGCAAGGGGTCTGGGCACCCAGCTCCTTTTGCCAAATTCACACTCTTACAGTCCAAGTCCCCAGCCCGAAGGGCCGGAAGCAACAGACCCGTCCTGACAGACTCTGGACTTGGACAAACTGAGGATTAGAGGGGAGCCGGGATTTGTCCCGGGGGAAGGAGGGTCCCGAAGACCCAGAGTGTGTGTGTGTGTGTGGGGGGGGATCTGAGCTGCCTCTGGCTTCTGAAGACCCCTTCCCAAGTGCCCCGGGGGACTCAGGACAGCCCCCTCTCGCCCCAAATTACCCATCAAAGGAGCCCCCTACATCCTGGCCCAGGCTCCCCGTGCAGCTCCTTCCTCCCTCCCTGCAGCCCCGATGTTTTTCTGGCATCGGAGGGCACACAGCCCGGTGCTCAGTGAATGTCTGGGGATCCAGGTGGCCCCAGGATTCCCCCATCTTGTTGATTCATCCCTCAGTCAACCCTTCCCGGTCCCCAGAACAGCCATTTGTTGAGTCACCCCGTCGGTGATTGGGTCTGGGGGTGACGGGTAGGATCCCCATCCGCACTGCTGGTTTCGGTGGACCCTGCCTGTTCAAGCTGCTGGTAGCTAGCTTCTCCCATCCCTGTCCCTTCCTCCTTCCCTCCCTCTGCTGGGCGTCCTTGCTTCTCATCTACCTACTTTGGGGTAAACCCCGTACCCCCAAAAGGGCCTGTCATTCAGCCATCACCAGATTTAGGGTCTGTGGACACTCTGAGACCCCCACCCCATGTCTTCTGAGGACAGAGGGGTCCTAATCCATAATCTAGGACTCGCAGGCGGCTGCAGGGAGTCTGTTTCCTCAGGTATTCCCGCGGCGGTCCCACACCAGCCCCGTGGCTCTCTCGGCCGCACATTTTTGGGTTCCTGGCGATTGCGGGAGACCTCAGAGGAATGTAGGAACTTCCCCGACGGGTCTGCCTCTCCCTCCCTCCCCCCCCCCCTTCCCACCCTGCCCAGAGCCTCCTGGCCTCCGAACCCCTGATCCCAGGGCTTAGAACCCCCGCGGATGAGTGGGGGCTCCCATGTCTGGGAGTCCCAGAACCCCACGCCTAGATACCCCGGCTCCACGCCGGCACCCGGAGGTCCGCACACCCACCTCTCGGTCCGGCTCGCCGATCGCGCGCGCGCGGGCTCCGGTGAGGTGTGGCTGGGGATCCGGCGGATGGACCGACCGGGAACGGCTCGGGCAGAAGGCGTGACACGCCCGGGATCCCAGGCCCGCACCGTGAGCAACGTCCTCCTCCGGACTCTGGGAGGGCTGTCTGTCCAGCCGTGCCAGCAGCCCGGCCGGCCCCGCCTCGCCGAGCCGCGCCAGCCAATCCGGGGGAGGGTCCCGCCTTCCCGCGCGCCCCATTGGGGGAATTCAATTTTGCGGCCACGCCCCTCGCGGGCCACGCCCCTCGCGGGCCAAGATCGTAGGGGGTTGGGGACCGCTGCCGCCGGGCCCGGCTGGTCCAGCGTGGGCATCGGGCAGGAAGATGCCCGTTTTGCGCCCAAATCCAGGAGGGCGCCCAACGCCGGGGTGAGGGGCGCGGGGTCGCCCGCGTCGCGGAGCCTTCAGGACTGCCCTCCTCTTTGTTCCCGAGACCACGTCCCCTCCCTGGACTCCGCCCCCTCCTGGCGTCGGAGGCTGGGTTTGGCAATCGCCCCCAGGCTGCTTTGGGGGGGGACACCTGATCGGGGTCACCTCTGAGGAGCGACTGCGTAATCGGCGGCATCTGGACCCTATGTTGGCGCATCTCGGGGACCACCGGAGATGGAGCCCTAACCACCCCCCCACCCCATCCCGCCAGGATCTGCCTCTTTCTGCGTTGGATCCTAAAAATTGGGAATATGGAGTTCAGACTCTCATGCAACAAATGGAGGAAACTGAGGCCCAGGAGAGAAGGCCAACATAAAAAAGGAGTTGGCCAGGGGATCCAAAGAGCGCAGACCCACTGGGGAAAGTCGTGCTCCACCATCGCCTTTGCTGGGAGGCCTGGGAGCTTCCCACAGGTCTCCATGGAGACCAAAAAAAGGCGTTGGAGCCTGGGAAGGTGGGGCCAGGAGTCCTGTCTGTCACATAAAAACAATACTGGTGTCACCTCATTTATTTTGTTTTTATTATTTATTTACCTAGGCAGATCCTGCCTCAGGTGTGTGTGTACCAATGGCGCAGGAGGACACCAGTTCCATAGTCCTTCTGTCCTCACATCTCAGCCTGAGCCTGAGCCTGGGCTGCAGCCACACTCGCAGCCTGGGGCTTGGTTTCGGCCTTGGCTTTGGCCTTGGGCCAGCCGAGCCTGAGACCCTTGGCACCAGCAGGTTACCTGAGCTTGGGGTGAGCCATGGAGGCAAGTGAGCTGAGCTCATGGCTGCCACCCTTTGGGATCTTGGACTTGACCTCCTTGGGCTTGACGAGGGCTCATGCGCTCACGGTCTTGGGGTTGTTGGCCTGCACCTTCTTCAGGCCCTTCTCGTCATGCTCCACGGCACAGCGCATGCTCCTTAGAGAACTTGGAGTCTACCCGCCTAAGAGATTCGCATCTTGGTGATTGGGGTTTCCCCCTGCCCTCTCTCTGAGCCATTTTTGGGACTGGTTATGTGTGGTGTGGGTCTTAGACTTGGCCATATCTGCACCCAAGTCTGTGGCTTCTGAAGCAGCTAAGACAGGAAAGCTCAACTCATTTATTTATTTTATTATTTATTTATTTAATTGCTTTCAGAGAGAAAGGGAAAGGGAGAGAGAGAGAGAGAGAAACATCAGTGACGAGAGAGAATCATTGATGGGCGGCCTCCTGCACAAGCCTGCAGCCCAGGCCTGTGCCCTGACCGGGAATCCAACTGTGACCTCCTGGTTCGCTGATGCTCAACCACTGAGCCACGCCGATGGGGCATCAACTCATGTATTTTGTACTTGCCCGGTGCCAGGCATAAGAACCCCACAGCTACCCTTTGAGCCCAGGGTTGCAATCCCATTTTGCAGTTGAGAACAACAGTTCATAGGTAGTGGAACTGGGATTCCTATCAGGACCTCTTGACCCAGAATCTGTGAGGAAATGGACTTCTTGTCTCCAGCAGATTCCCTCTACCCCACCATTCAGATCCTCTGGGACGACCCAGACTCCCACCCCACCTCACCCCGATTTAGAGAGGTCCAGTATCCACTCTGATACTCTTTATTTTTTCTAAATATATTTTGTTGACTTTTTACAGAGAGGAAGGGGGAGGGATAGAGGCTCAGAAACATCGATGAGAGAGAAACATCCATCAGCTGCCTCCTGCACACCCCCTACTGGGGATGTGCCCGCAACCAAGATACGTTCCCTTGACCGGAATCGAACCTAGAACTCTTGAGTCCACAGGCCGACGCTCTATCCACTGAGCCGGACGGGTCAGGGCAGGTGGCTCCTTTGTGCCCATGGGAAAACCAAGATGCTGAGAAGGGAGTAGAGTTGTTGGGGTCACACAGGAGGAGGAGCAAGCAGACCAGTTTGGAGGCTACCCTGGGCAGACCCCGTCTAGACCCTCCCTACGTGACCCAGAAGCCATCTGATCCTGGGAGAATGAGTCAGCGCCCTCCAAGGCCAACTGGGTCCTGCTTCAAACCTGCACAGCGCGCCAGTTGGCACGGCCCCTTGGGGCGGGGAACACCTCCAGGCCACCTGGGCGGCTCTGCCCTGCCTGAGTGGCAGCTCCAGGCTCCAATGCATGGCCTGCTTCCTGCTAGCTCCCCCCCCCCCAACTCCCCGCCCCACGCCCCCGAAGCTGGGGAGGAACCGCACAGGTGAGTCTGAGTCTGGACTTGCTGGGTCTGACACCAGTTCAAGAATTCTTGGTACCTGGATCCCTTCAGGCTGGGGTCCTCCCTGCCTGCCTGCCTGCCTGCTCCAGCACTCCCTCCCTGCCAGGGGCGGGGCGGGATGGTGTGGACGGCGACATACAGATCAAAGGGCTGTCCCCTGCGCGGCTGGGGAAGCGTCAGCCACAGCCCTGGACGCGTAAACATCCTGAGAGGAGGGTCCTCCTGGCGTTTACAGCGGGTCACCCTTAGGGTTTGCCCTCTTGCACGTTGACCTGGATTCTATCTCCAGAGGAGGAAGCCGAAGAAGCTCGGGGAGGGGAGAGGGCGCCCTGGCCTGGCCATGGCATTCAAACCTGAGTGGCGTCCTGCCCATGTCCAAGTCCCTTTCCTCCGCCTTGCTGTCTCTAGGATAGGGGGGAAATCCCGGAAGACTCCTCGGAGGAGGTGATGTGCAAACTGAGCCTCGAGGAAGGATGAAAAGAAATCCACCCCACAGAATAAGGGGGGAGGGGGGCAGGCATGGAAGGGCATTTGTGACCGAGAAACCCGGAGGTTTGTAAATGGGAAAGGG